AATGGAATGCATTTATTTCTAAAGAATAGCTATGTAAGCTAGGCCATCGGCCTAATCATTATATAGAAAATCAAAAAGAGCTTTTCTTTGAAGAGGGTGTCTAGACACTGTGGTGGCTTGATCCAGTACATTAGGTGTGCTAATAAAGTTATACAATAGGATGTTGACACGAGAAGAAGTTGTATATGAAATTTATGAATAATCGTAACGGTGTTTTGCGTCCATCTATAAATAATGAAAAGGTTAAGTGAATGCAATGTATAAAACTCAAAACAAAAATGGTTGAGTTTTAATGTGTGTTTGGACATAAGAATGGTGAATTTCCGGGGAAAAAAGTATAAAAAAAAAAAAAAGAATTCAAGTGAAAATGATATTTCAAAATTAGAGCTGTATTTGGACATGATTACAATTCGGAACTATCTTCGAATTTTTGTGACTGATTTGAAGTGAAAATTTTGGAAAACAGCTTGTTAGAGTTTTTTAAATTCCGAAAAATTTCGAGATTCAATTTCAAGTGAAATTTAAAATTTTCATGTTCAAATACTAATTTCAAAAAAAATAAAAATATTTTAAAAAAATAAAAAAAATCTTTTATGGTCAAGCGGGTCCTTAAATGAGCAGTATAGAGTGACCCACTTGCCAATATCTGTTGAGGTGACTCCGAGGAAATGGAAGAGCCATTTTGCTATTCTTTTGTTGCACCCTCTCCAAACCCCATGGGAGCAATATGAATCCCCATACCCCCACCTACACAAGGGCAGATACACATGTTTATTATGAGATCGATCGAATTCAGTAATTTTAATTTTAATTTTATTTATATGCTTAAAAGTTTACTAATAATATATAAATATTAAATTTCATACCGAATAACTCGTATAATAATTAGATTTAGTGGCATCCAAAATTCAATGACGGAGCCATGATTTTCATTAAGGGAAGTCAAAACATAAAGAAATAAACTCATTAAGAAGTCAAGAAATGTCATTATATAGTATATATACATATTTTTAAAAAAATTACCTAATTATACGGTATAATTTTCTAACGAAAGGGACAACCCTTTTGGGTACGTGGCTCCGCCACTGCCAAAACCTTTAAAATGCCTACTGAATGCTGCCTTCCCCAAGTAAAGTTTTATGAACACATTTAATATTTCTTCACTTGCTAAAAGGAGGACATAGTTCCGATCAAGAGAATTAATGTAGTCAGTTTTCGATATGAATTAGAATGTCGAGTTTTGAAGTTTTTTGAAGCAAATTTGCATTTTTCTTAAGAATTACATTAAAGAATTCCAGTCAATGAAAAATTGTTTGACTCCGAGTCCAAATATTGATGCTTTTATTTTTGGGTAAGGGTGTTGAAAACCGAACCGAAACCGAAATCGAACCAAAACCGAAGCTTAATGGCTTATTGGTATCGGTTTAACGGTTTAACGGACGGGGAACGNTCCACTTCTAGTACTCTATCTATTACTAATTTACTATTAGACATTTAGTTATAATTTACTATTCTAGTTAGTTACTATTAGATAATTTTGATGTCGTGTGTTATACCCAGTATTCTCTTCTATTTCTTCTGATAGTTATAAGTTGTTAATAGGCTCATCCCCAGAGATGATTTTACTGGGAAATACGCTGGAATCTAGCTCTATATTTCTTCTATTTATCTCTCTTCTTAGGTGCCATATTCTATAGACTGGAATGTAGTCTGCTGAGCATAGGAATTTTATTTTGAGTCACAGCGGTCAGCAAACAATCCGATAAACCGCCCGATAAGAGCTAAACCGATATCAATCCGCCTGATATCTTATCGGGTGTCTAGTGAATTAATACATTTAAAAGTCGATAACCGATAAGCCAAACCGTTAAAATTAAATAACCGTCCAATCCGCCCGATAAGCAGCCCTATTTTTGAGACAGAAGAAGTAATACAAGCCATCATCTTAACATATTTCAATCACATTGTAACTTAAATTAAAGAAACAGGACTATCACATCGAATTCTTACAGGCAAGACTCATGATGGCTTCTATTATAAACAAAAATAATAATGTCGAGGATGTACTCAAAAAAACCAATCACATTTTGATGTAAATTATATTATGCGCCTTGTGTAAATTTAAATATTAATTCTTTTTTAGTAACAGTTAAATTATACTTTCTCTATTTCAAAAAGATTTATATGATGTGGAGTACGAGGATCAAAGTACTTAACTTTGATTGTGAATTTGAACATAGATTCTTCAAGTTTTTGGAAATAAAATTTACTTTTTCGAAATAGTAATAGTGCCAATTTATATATGATCAAAGAACAACCTCGTAGATTTCTCAAACAGAATGTCGTTCGCCTTTTTTACTCTTTAAAAATATATTTCACATTGGATAAAATAGTCATTTAATTAATTCTCTAGAACTTTAAAATTGACTAAAATTTTGATTGATAGATCTTTCCTTATTTGAGGTTGGTAAGAAGTTCTAAATTTGAGGGCTTTAAATCAATTGATATTTTACCATACATAAATTTTTTCCTTGCTTAAACTCTATAAAATACATATAAATCTTTCATATTACTTTTAGTGGATGCAAATTCTATGGGGAAAAAAGTAAATTAATGTGTGTGTTTTAGCGATATTAAAGTAAATAATAGATCATACAACTTTTATGCCTAATATTTAATAGGTCATGTATTTAGGACTTTAAATAAGTAATATAATTTTTCCATGTTTAGTTCTTGTAGAAGTTGAAAAATATCAACCACGAAAGATGAGTAAAAGTACTATTTTTGCAAATTTTGTTCTCATAAAAGTTATAAAAATATCAAGCACAAATTCTTGAAATATATAACAAGAAAACTTTATCATGGATAAAAGGTTCAAATTTATGTGTAAAATAATGGTTAATACTTTAGAAGTTATCTCTTTCTTGCACCTAATTTTTTTGTTAAATCTTTATATTGGATTTTAAAACCCATTAATATTTTTTCTTATTATCTTACATAAATTATTTTTATTTGAATAATGTAATATAATCGTAATTCTTTTCATGTTATTATATGTGAACTATAATAGTTCATATTATATTTGAACTATTTTTCTCTCCAAACAATATTTTTCTATTTAGTAAATTTTTATGTATAATATCTTTAAAATTATACTCAATAATTAAAGCAAATGACATATAATATTTTGAAAATATAGAAGATAAACAGAGAGGGGGCGAGAGAGAGACTAGAAAAATAGTATTTGGCAACACTCATAATTCTACAAACACAAATATCCAAAAATAAAAAATAAAAAAATAATCCTTATTGAGATGATGAGCCAATATCAAGAATTTGAATCAATAAAAAATAAATTACTTCCTTATTGAGAACAAAAATTTAAGTTTTTGAATTAACTAATTAAAAAAATAATGCTAGCCAATTCTTTTCTAAATTGAAAAAAATCAAGTTGAAAAAACTCTTAGAATACATAAAGTTGGCTTAAAAAAGAGCAATTTGTGGTTAAAGCAATCAAAAAAATAAAACATAATAGATGATGTAGTATTAAGAGCCAAATTAAAATATTACCGACTTGAAGCAATAAGGATAAAATAATAGAATATAATTTATTTATTTATCATTTATATTTTCTCTCCTTTTGCATTTGTTACAATAGATGACAGTTCCATATATCTTTTACATTATCGTTAGAGAATTTTTTTTAACTTTCGTGATGTAAACCGTTAACGCTCACCATATCTCTCTTCAATCATGATAAATATTATGAGAATTCTTTTATTTTAAATACTTTTATCGTCTTTGTAAGTTTAGAATATATTGGATGCAATTAATATGTCAAGGTATAACATTAATCTTTTAGCATTTAAGAAATTGTTACACTTATTTTAGTGCCAGCTGCTATTTTCAATAATTTGTGTTTCTTGTATATTCTCTCTATGTCAAATTATCTGTTGTGTTTCTCTTTTATCCATCCTTTAAGAGAATTAATTAGGAGGGGGGTCGGAGTATTTTACCTTTATTTATATCTTAAAATATAGTCTCTATTCATGGAATATTTATTTTATTTATGTGTTATCTCCATCGTTAAGCATAATTATTATTAAGGGTAAAATAGAAAAAATATAATTTATTTTATCTTGAACTTCTAAAATGACAAATAATTTGAGACAACTTTTCTTAGAAAACACGACAAATAATTTGAGAAGGGGATAGTATATTTTTTATTGATTAGCGCGAGTCGCATGAACGCACGTACACAAAAACTAGTATTTTTTAAACGTGTATAAAAAGTTGTTGGAAAATGGACAAAGCCAGATCAGCGCCAGGTCAGCATCTATATCCTCAGCTTTAAACCGTCTCAGAAAAACCTCCATCAGATATGCATTTGTCACAACATACTATGCAAAACAATAAAGACAGACAACTTATTAACCCTTTCCCCACTCCCCAATTAACACCTCCTACATCTCTTCACCAATACATGTTTACGTTTGCACTTATGCAGCGGTGCGCCCTAAATCCTAGACTTTCCTCTTTTCTACTCAACCACCCACCAGAATCTAATTTGAATCCACTATTTTTAATACAAAATATAAACTTTTATATAAAAATCATTAAAATTATAATATTGTATATTAGATATGAACCGATAATCTCAAAAGTATAATAAGTTTTGATGATATGAGTTTTAAAGATTGAACCCATAAAATAATAGGCGGAATCAGAATTTGAAGCTAATGTATTCGGAATTTTATTCTTTCTAAGTTACTGAGTTCTAAATTAATAATTTATATATATTCAATAAATTTTTAAAAACAAATATAGAGTTTGGACCGAAACTACTGAGCTCGGCCGAACCTGTGCCCAAGCTCTAGCTTTCTAATCTCCGCCCCTGTGCAAAATGTAAATTGTGGATCCGTCTTTGCCACCACTTAAGCTCTCTACTTTCTAATACTCTAACGATAATTCATCCCTATAAATAGCAGCTTAATGTAACTGAAATTTCATGTCCATCTTCTTCTCTTTATCTTCTTTATTTTTTATGTGTATACTACTTTTTATTCACTAACAAAATTGATCATATAGCATATAGATATTAACAAGGCTTGCCATGGCCGCCGAGCTCTCTGTAGTCCTACCTCGTGTCCTCATCGTCTCTAGACGAACAGTTCGCAAGAACAAGTTCGTCGATTTTGTTGGTACGTTGTTATTTTTTATGCTCATTTTCTTTTCTATTTCTATATTTGATCAAATATTTTAAGGACTTTGCTAAACTTTTACTGTCAGAAGAAATCCAGGTGTGAAGCTAGGTGGACATGGGTTTAATTGATTTTCATTTCTTATAAAAGAAGGGCGTAACTGATAAAGTTGTTATGTGAGTAATCTCTTGCAGAAATGCAGGATAAGACTGTGTACAATAAACCTTTGTGGTCCGATCCTTCACCCACTCTTACATGGCAATAGCTTAGTGCACCGTATTGTCTTTTCTTTTGTTAAAAAATTTATACTTGTGCAGATAGGATAAAAATAATTTTTTTACACATAAAATTGTTGCATTTCCTCGGCGAAAAGGAAAATTCTAGTATAATAGCAACTGTAATTCATATTTTGCTTTAGATAACAGGTTCAGATTTTAGGTGTAACGCTCTTGCATTTTTTTATTTCATTCGCTGGTTAGAATTTAACATTTTTATTTTTCCCTGAATCCTTGTTAGAAATTTTTTTCCCTTCATGTTGTTAACCACAAATTAATGTCTATTTCTCTGTGATCGATATAATATCAGGAGAATATCATCTTGATCTAATAGTAAGCTATGGAGCAGTCCCAGTAATTGTTCCTAGAGTTACAGGGGTCCATATGTTATTGGAAAGTTTTGAACCAATTCATGGAGTTCTTCTTTGTGAAGGAGAAGATTTAGACCCTTCTTTATATGACGATGAACCAGCTAATCTCTCTGCTGAAGAAATAGAAGAAATTCGAAGACAACATGCCAGTGACACAGCCATTGACAAAGAAAAAGACAATATTGAGCTGAGATTAGCAAAGCTTTGTCTAGAAAGAAACATACCTTACTTGGGAATATGCCGAGGCTCACAGGTAATAAGGGAAAAAGGTCTAATTTTACCCTACCAAATAACTTAATTTGATCCTCTGTTATATTTTAGGGTCATTCAAATATCCTTGTTGTTAATGAATGATGATCGGGATTTGCCTATGATTTTAACAAAGCTATGACGAGGACTGAGTAGGACGTTCCACGTGTCAAAGAAAAAAAACATTTATCTACCTACTTTTGACTATAGTTTAAAGTCACCATATGTTATATTGCAAGTTCGAGTTCTATTCAGGTTCGAAGGAATACAATACAATTTGCTAACGGCAAGAATATGAATAGCCCGATAATCAGGGACAGATGTAGTTTATCGATTACGGGTTCATCCAAATTCATAATTTTTGACACGGAGTATATAATATTTATATATAAATTTGTTAAAATCTCAACAAATATTAGATCTGAACCCATAGTTTTAACAATATAATAAGTTCAATCCTGAAAATCTTAAAAGTTGAACCCATCAAATTAATTTAAATTTTGAATCCGCCTCTGCCGATAACATAGGATAATATTAAGATATTTCTTGTAGTAGAAGGATATATTTGATCATTTTTCCTAGTTTAAGGAAAAAGTTCAATTGAACCTAACCTTAAAAATTATTTATATACATTGTCTATAACCTATATTTATAGAAAATTCAGAATTTTGAACGTCCATAAAGGTTAAATTCTGGATTCATCTCTGCAGGTACTTAACGTTGCATGTGGGGGAACTCTTTATAGAGACATTGAGAAAGAGCTTTCAAGAAACCTCCCTCAAAATCAAAGGGTACTCCACATTGATTATGATAACTATGATGGTCATAGGCATGTTGTTAAGATTATTGAGAATACCCCATTGCACCATTGGTTCAAGAATTCCTTAGAAGAATATGACAAAATGGAAATTTTCGTCAATAGTTATCATCACCAAGGAGTTAAGAAGTTAGCTCAGAGGTTTGTTCCTATGGCATTTGCAACAGATGGTTTAATTGAAGGATTTTATGATCCAGATGCTTATAATCCCGAGGAGGGTAAATTTATTATGGGACTTCAATTTCATCCAGAGAGAATGAGGCAATCAGATACTGATGAGTTTGATTATCCTGGATGCACCTTTGCTTATCAGGTTTCTACACATTTTTGACCTATGTTGTTCGGAATCTTTAAAAGAATCTGCTGAGTGTGTGTTGGATCCTTCAAAAATAGTTCATTTTTTGAGAATCCGACACGGATGCGGCAACATTTTTAAAGAGCCCATATATAAAAGTTAAAATCTTTGCGATATTTAACCTCTATAACTCTTAATGTAAAAGAAATTTTATACGCGCCTAATTAAAAACAATTAAAAGTAGTTGTTCGTATAAAGTGGTCAAGATTAGTAAGGTGAAAAATAAAATGTGTTACCTGCTATAATAGATTAAAGTTCAACACATTAGTATATCTAAGTTAAATCTGAAGTGATTTGTGCTGAAATCTCACACTTAGTTGAATGTGATTTGCAGGAGTTTGTGAAAGCTGTAGTTGCTTATCAGAAGAAGCTCTCTAGTTCAACAACAGTCCAAAACCCCATAAAACTTAATCAAGAAATGGAGAAAAAGAGGAAAATTATAGTTAGAAGCTTCTCTCTTGCGAGGAATATATATGAAGGAGGCCATCAAATGAATCCATCTAAAGAATCTGACTTAGATGCTGGAGCAGAGTTCCTAGAGGTATATGGATAGGGAATTTAATTTGGATTTTACTAACTATAATTTTAAAAGAATCCATAGTATAAATATGTTGACTACCCATATTTTATAAAACGAATGACAATTAAAAAACATTTTAATGAAATAAAACAAAAGAAGAAGAAAACAATTACTAGACACTAGAAATTTGACCTTCTAGTCATCTGTAATTTTTAAGCAATTCACGCGTAGCTTGATTACTCTATAATATCATGACAGAGAATAGTTTAGTGACTATACTGATATAGCGGGTAAACACAATTAGTTTAATGTGATAAAATATAATTTTATAATATTACTGTTACAGTAAAAATATTTAGTGACTTTTAACACAAAAAAATAAATTTGTTATTATAGTGAGCAAAAATCAGTGATCTATAGTTCTATACGTGAAACTAATCATACTTATATAGCCAAAATACCTTGAATGCATGTATACTTAGTTGTTGGTGATCATGTAATGTTGCAGCATGGGCGAAGATAGAAGCCTAAATATGAATTCTGTTTCAGAAACATATATTCAAATAGTATATTTTGTGTTAAGAAATTCATTAAATACGTATATATATTAAATTTAAAATATACTTATTAATACTTAAAGTTGTAATTCAAAACCTATAAAATTAAAATACTAACTCCATTAGTGTATTGCAGTCAAATACAGCATTGAGTATTCAACAAGAGGAAAGGTTAATTCAGATGGGAGCCACTGTAAGAAATGGATCTTCCTACTTAGAGAGACTGAAGATGAATGAGGAGAGAGAGGGTATAGCAAGAAAAGTAATGTCGAAAATGTCGGTGGAACAGTTATCTGATCTCAAGTCGTTTTACAATATGATGGGACAAATATGTTCAGAAATATTAGAGAGAAAACTCCAAGATATTGTCAATGAAGTTGCCTCTTGAATTGAAGTTTGGATCTTTCTGCATGAGTTTTTGGTTCTATGCTTTGTTGTCAAGTTTCTCTACTTGTCTTTTTGCTACATCAATGAATGACTATTTGTTTTTTTCTTTTCTTTTGCTCTTTTATTGGAATCACATGTATTGAAATAGTTCAAAAGTATAAGTTCACACTTTACTTTCCTGTCTTTTTTTTTTTTTTTGGAGTTGGTTCATGTCTTTTTCTAGGCAGGCAGTCCAAACTTGGAAAGCATTCAAGAGTGGCTTTGTTGAAATATTTGCTCAAGTCATTTGCACAACAGAAAAGTAGGGTGCTTGTCCGGTGGATCGAGCGGATAATTATGCTTAACAGTTCGACTTATTATTTATCGGATTATAAATATAGTAATTGTCTAGCCATTCAATAAGATAACGGGCGGATTGATATCGGATTAAGCAATTATCGGACGGTTTATCGGCTAAATCAAATAGAATTTTTTTTGAACAATCTTAATCTTGTGAATACCAAACAGCCAAACTGCATAGTTCAGCTTACCATTCATATCCTCAGTACATTACTCAATGAAGACTTATCATGGAGTACAAAGAACAATTTCTGGAACAAATTTTTTGAATACTCAATGAAGATATCTCAATCACTGCACCCAAATAAAGTACCAGCCTTAATTATCAAGCCATATGCGCAGAGAAGAACGGACTGTGATCACTTTCCAAAGTGTACACGTTCTGTGGAGGCCATTTTTTGATCATAGCATCTTGTTGCTCTAGCTTCACAACTCGATCATATGTTGTTCTAATGTATATTCGAGGTACTTTCTCTGCACATGACAATAAATTCCACAGTATATTATGTACATGTTGGATATGAGACTATCTCAATCACTGCACCCAAATGAAGCAATAGAAGAACAGAGTGTGATCACTTTTCATTGGCCATTTTTTTATCATAGCATCTTGCTGCACTTTCTCTATTCTAACATAGTATATTGTGGGATTTATTACGCTGGAACAAAATTTTTGAATACTCAATAAAGGTAAAAGTGTAAATATAAAAATTATTAACGGGTTAATGGTTTATCTGATAAGAAAATTGAGTAATCCGCTCCCAAATCGTTAAGCCGTTAATTATAAAATCTCAATCCGTTCACCATCCATTACCCCGATAACCTGATATCAATAAGCCAATAAGCCATCAGTTCGGTTCGGTTAACGGTTACGATTCGATTTTGAACAGCCATATAGAAAAGGGTCAAATATACCCATGTACTATTAGAAAATGTTTAAATATATTCCTTGTTATACTTTGAGTCTGTTTATATCTCTATCGCTATATTATTGCTTCAAATATACCCATTTTCCGTTAAGTTTGTTCAAAATGGACATCAAATCCTACGTGACACTTGCATTTGATGAGGTAGATGCCACATGGCTTGCCACCTCAGCGCCCCTAATCCATTTTATCCATCCCTTCTATTTTTTTTCACCACTAAAATTTTCTTTCCCTCCACCACTATTGCTACCATTACCGCTACCATGAACAATATTGTATTTCAAATTTAGTTTTTTATATAGGGATTATGGGCGGTGAAGTGGACAAACTTAATTGAAGAAGGGTATATTTGAACCAGTAGTATTACGGTAGGGGTATATTTGGCCGTTTGCCGTTTGCACAAAGTAGGGATGTCAAATGGGCTGGTTGACCTGATTTTGCACGGGTCAAAATGAGTTGAATGAATAAAGAGCGGGTCAATGACCTGCCCAAAAGTTACTTGAACTGAGATGGACTGGGTAAAATGGGCTAAAATTTTGGTCATGGCCCAATCCACCAAACTCTTACCAAACTTTAATTAATGTATGTTGTTTTCTTATAAAAATTTTAATTACCAAATAAAACTTTCTTTTCTTTTGTTACGATCATATATAACATGTCAAACAAAAAGGAATTATAATAATTTAGCAAAGATGCTCATGAATCAACTTGGGCTAAATAAATAGTTCAATTTTAGACGGATTAAGATGAATTGTGTTAAGATGAATTGAGTTTAACAATAAGGCGGGTCAATGAGCGGTCCAACCTTGAACGGATTAAACGTTAATTGAATGAACTTGGGCATAAATTGCCGCCCCTCTGGGAATGCTTCAATGCTAAGGAAAGGTTCCCTCTCCTTCCCTATCTTTGTTCCCCATGGTTGTCATTGATTCGAAATAAAACTTGATGAGGTAAAACATATTTAGTAAATTAAATTACTTATAAGCTAACTATCAATATATCTATCTATATCTATACTATATTAAAAGCACGAAGGTTCTTAGCGAGATATCATTCTCCTTTTTTACCCTTTAAAAATAAAATTCGCACTAGATAAAATAGTTATTTGATTATTTTTTTAATATTTAGGAATAACCATTTAATTAATTTTTTAATATTTAGGAGTTTGTATATCAAAACTTTCCTTATTAGAATTGTATTGAAAGTCCTAGTATTTAGAATTTTAAAATTATTAATATATACCTTATATAAATCCTACACTTAAATTATATATGTATTTAAATGATAAACAAAATAATAAAGGAAAGAATAAGAAGACGAAAGAAAGAGGAAGTACACAGCTTTGGATAATTATGGAGGTAGTCAAATCTCTTTATAATTTTTTTTATTGATTCTGATTTATATGAAACTCTTCTATATTAAAGCTATTCCACTAATAATAGTACTCTATATTTATCTTTAGTTTTCAAAACTTTGAAATTACAATTATAATTATTCGAAATATTGAACAGAAATCAATAACAAACTCCAAAATTATCAACTATTCCAACAAGATAATTTATGAGATATTTTAAGGTTTTTAATTAATAGTAAATAATTGTATATAAGCGGATTTCTTGACTATAATTTTGACTTCTAAAAGGACATTTCAACTGTAGGCTTTATTTATAGCACATAGTGATTCTTAATTCTTTGAGATTAACAAAGAATTTCCATTTGCTTTTTTTATCCATAGAATGTCACGCATGGGTTATTTTTTTCCTAATGAATTTTTTACTATTTGAAAAAGAATTCTTATTAAAAATATATATTTATAATTAAATATAAAAAAATTGGTATGAGCTAATTAATATTACTTAAATACTAATCTCACTTGAATAATGACACTTCAAAACTAACTACACCCTTCCAATTCTAATTTAAGTTATACTTTGGAATACATTTTAAGTTGAATCATTGACCGGTGATTGAGTATTTTTGTAGAGCGATTTCTTTTTTATTTGAGTTAATTATACACGATCAATAGTTATCGTCTTTAGGAACTAATATTTTATAACTCAAAGACAAATTTTGAATTTTTTTTTAATTGAGTTAGGTACACGCGCAAAACACGTACATTAAGACTACTCTTTGTGTTAAGCATGGCCAGGAAATCGGATGGAAAAATCTTAATATATCTTAAGGGCTTACATTATGGACAGTGTGTGTTGGGCTAATCATGTAGGGCAGCTTCTAAATCCGCAGTGCGGTTTAATGCACAAACATTACACTAGTTATACATATATATATATATATATATA